TATATATATTATCATATATTCCTTTCAGACAGTTCTTGCCCTATGTTCTAATGCAGTGTTCAAGTGTTCATTATCTATCCATTCTTTCCCAATTTTCTCCCCAACCCCCATGTCTGTCCTATTTTATAACAGTGAGACTGTGCAATATTTATCCTTTCATGTCTGAAATATTTCACTTGGCATAATGTCCTCAATGCTCCCTATGTTGTATGTTGTCGTTGATTGCCATCAAGAAAAGCATGACTATTGAAGCCTTCCTATAACTATTGTCATTTCTCAAAGTTCATAACGTTTCCAGAGCGCTTTGTCAAGGCCACCACGGTTGGCCAGATGGGCTGGTTCTTCCTCATGGCTGTGATGTACATCACCGGAGCTGGCCTTTATGCTGCTCGAATACCTGAGCGCTTCTTTCCTGGAAAGTTTGATATATGGTTCCAGTCTCATCAGATTTTTCATGTCCTGGTGGTGGCAGCAGCCTTCGTACACTTCTATGGGGTCTCCAACCTTCAAGAATTCCGTTACGGCCTCGAATGTGGCTGTACTGATGACTCCCTTCTCTGAGCCTTCCCCCCAAAGGGGTGGAGGAGGAACTTCTCAAGTGTTTTTAAAAATAACTTCTTTGCTGAAGTGAAAAAAAAAAAAGTAGATGCCATTCCTGTTTCCAGATCCTTGTTATATAATGTTTTACTATTTTGTTGTTTTTCAATGTTGTATAATGTTCCATTGGGTGGATGTACCATCGTCTCCCCATCCATTCATTTATTAATGGGCTTAGACTGCTTCCTTCTCTTTGCTATTGTGAATAATGAAGCAATAAACATGGGTATGTATACATCTGTTTAAGTTGTGGCTCTGGTTTCTTTAGGGTATATTCTCAGTAGTGGAATTGCTGGGCATATTTTTAACTTTTTTTAGAAAGCAGCATACTGCCTTCCATAGTAGTTGTACCATTTTACATTCCCACCAGCAGTGAGTAAGAGTTCCAATCTCTCCACAACCTCGCCAGCATATGTTGTTTGCTGCCCTGTCGAACACATTTAATGTCATTATTTTCTTACCTGGTGAAGCAAGTTTAGATGGATGGATCTTCTCAAGTTCTTTGGAAGGCTGATATCATAAAGGACTGCTGCAGTCAATATTTGTCTTAGGCTCTAAAGAGAAGGTCCCAAAGGTTAGTTGTTGGCTGCTCATGAAGCAACAGCACCGTGCACTGGTAGCAGACAACTGATGTTTTGTAACAACAAACTCATAACCTTCTGCACTTAGGAGCTTTCTATAATAATTCTGAACCCTTTGCTTCAGGAACCCTAGTGGGGTTTTGGTTAAGCACTTGGCTGTTAATGCACAGGGTGCTGGTTGGAACCACCAGCTGCTCCATGGGAGAAAAAGCCTTGGTGAACGGTTTAGGAAACTCTATAAGTTTGTTCTGCTTTGTCCTTTAAGGTCACCAAGAGTTGGAATCAGCTCTAGGACATACAACAACAAGAAAAATCTTGCTTCAGTGTCTCAGAAGCTCAGAATAACTATTTTCTATCCTTTTCTGACATTTCCATTATTGAGCTATGTCAACTTCTTCTCTACCTCCTATTCTTCAACAGGCTCTTAAGTTCAGCTGCACATATAGATGTTTAAATGTAAAATGATCCTCAAGGGACATTGTGCACTCTTGAATGATTGTGCCTGAATAAATAAATCAATAACTTTTTAGGTTATGGCTATCACCTTTGTAACATGGAAATCTGCTTCTTCGTCTTTGTACTGATTCAGGAGCCAGGGAACTTGGCTCAGAGCATATTCACTGAAATCTTCCCGATGTAGCAGCAGGCTCACTGTGGGGCCATGGGCTTTAATGATGGCCAAAGTCTGCAGAGACAGCAAACACACATCAGCCTTCCTAACCATTCATCGTATTGTTAATTTTTCAGGTATCAGAAGGTATAAGTTGTTGTTGTTGTTAAGTGCCATCAAGTCATAGGTGACTCATAGTGACCCTATGAATGAAAGACCTGGACACTTGTATAACTTTCATCCTTTCTCCACATTCATAGGGAGGCAAGCTATTTCAGAAGAGGATATCACTTAACAACAGCATAGAGAGAGATAAGTTGGCCCAGTGGATAGAAAATTATGCTAACAAGCCAAAGGTGAGTGATTTTAATCTGCGGCCCTCAGGCCTGGTTTTAATTGCTTTTGGTCAAACATTCTTCTAAGTGGTATAGTGCTGGTCTGTCTGTTTGCTGTACAGGGGTAACTTGTGGTTGCCATGATGCTAAACACTGTGACAGTGATGCGTCAAATGCGGTAATGGTTACTCATGGTGGACAGTGTTCGGTAGAGCTTCCTGATTAAAACAATCTTGGACACAGGAGTGGCATCCACTTCCTAAGTGGCTTGCCTCCAGAAACTCTGTGAATGTGGAGAAATGATGAAAGTTGTATAAGTGTTCAGGTCTTTCGTTCATAGGGTCACCATTTAACAACAATAACAACAACAATTTATCAAAATGAATCCTAAACAGTCTCCTGATTTAATGAAACCAAAACACATAGTTAAAATAATGTACATGTATATATGCTTTGAGAGGGAACTATGGTGGCTTAATAGTAAGGAGTTGTGCTACCATCCCAAAGGCATGTGGTTTGAAATCTACCAGCTGCTTCATTGGGAGAAAGATAGGCATTCTCTTTCTGTGTCATTTTTAAAAAATTTTTTTTAATTATTTTTATTTTTGTGTGTGTGTACCATCGAATCAGATCTGACTGGTACAGGAGGAGATTGTTCCTCCTTTTCCCGGCAGAGCATCTGGTGGATTCGAACCATGTTCCTGTGGGATTGTAGTTGCAGCTCCTTGCCACGAGGCCACCAGAGCTCCCCTTCTGTGTGATTTAAACTAGTTCTTCAACATGGAACAAGAGCTGGAGGCAACCCAAGGTCCCCACTCACATGCATGGGTGAGGCCGTGGTGGTCCACTTTTCCATTATATACCGAAACAGCATGAAGATCTTGTCAGAGAGTCGGTTGGCATCCAATCTGGGATAGGGAAAATCTCTCCAGTGGTTGACATATTTGTAAATAGCCTTGCTGAACTTCTCAAGGGCTGCATTTTAAAAACACAATCAGAATAATACGAAGATGGGAAATGTCATAATTTTTTTAATAAGAAAGTACTAATGTTATGAGGTAATAGAAGAGAAGGTGCTCTTGGGGAGTTGGTAGTGTTCTATTTAAGTGTTAGTCAAAAGGATAACTCATCAGTCTGTACAATTCTGATTTATATACACTTTTGGTTTGTATGTTTTATTTCAGTAAAATAAAACATCAATATTTGTCATCGAAAACCACTGTTTGGGCCACTAATCAAATATAGAGGAGTTCTGGTAGTGTCATCCATAGGGAGTTTCAGTGCTAATCCAAAGGTTATACCTCTTTGGTGCTTGGAACCCAAACAATGACTTCAGAGGAGAAAGATGGTAAATCTCTTCCAGCATAATTTACAGTCTCAGAAATCAAATGGAGGGTCAGTTATGAGTTGGTTCCAACTTCATAGCACTGAGGGAGGGAGTGAATTTATATATATATAATATTAGGATCACATACATTAAATGTTATTTTCTCCTCCAATTCTTGTATCACTCATTTCAATAGGTGAAAAAAATAAAGAGTACACTCTTTCAAAGACATTTTACATACAAATGCTACTTAGGAAAAGAGACCCCTCAAGTCTTTGAGAATGTTAATCTTATAGCTGCCCACATTTCCTCTATTATATCTTCAGATTTCTTTTAGGTTTTTCTGCTACACTTTATCTTGACCTCTACGCAATGAAGGAGTGAATAGTATTCAACCATTGATTAAAATCTATAGCAACCTGCAAAACATTTGCTTACATGTGGATTGAGTAATACATGTATAAATAATAATTAAGTTTCATACTTTTCCTTTGTAGCATCATGTATCAATTTTTTTAGGGTCAAAGGGCACCTCAATAATTTTATGATATAAAGAGAGAGTTCCCTTATTAATTGTCGTGATAAGTTCTAGTCACACTTTCTTAGTTGTTCATACTTGAGGTAAAATGCTGTTTTTTTGCAGGAACACAAAGTCAGTTTTGATAGGAAGAAAGACTAACACCAAGAGAGAGGGAGAGACCTGGGATCCTGGAGAGTTACTGAAGTCCTTGAGTAAAAATTTCATGTTCAGCACAGTGACTAGACTCGTAGCAAATTCTCAGAATGCATTAACTTCAGTGAGGACTGAATAAGAGGAAACGGACAAAATATAACAAAAAAGACTGCTGGTTCATGGGTAAAGAAGCTATTCCAGACAGCATGGGTTTTAGATTTTATAAAGCATTTGTACTGGGGTATGTTAAAAAAAAAGAAAAAAGAAGGGATCTTATCTCACATTTCATCAAATGTGTTTGCTTTTTTTTTTTAAAAAAAAACAAAACAAAACCCCAAACCATCCATTTCAGTGAAAATGAGACGTTCAGGGTCATCTGGTGGAGACAAAATCTTAGTTTTCCAAATTCATCCAAGAAAACTTCAACAGAACTGTAGAAACTTTCTTCAGGCATGCAAGGATACATTCTTTTCTGTAGACTCTCAAATACTGTACACATATTTTGATTTAGGATAGAGGTTATTTGTGAGCATAATACGTTTTCCCCATTCTCCTTTATTGCTTTGATTTTTGATGATCCATGACATTTTTTAATTGTTATTACAATATTGCATAATCATCAGATGCCAACATTTATTCTCTTGCTAGATGGTATACCAATTGACATATTTCAGCTAACAGATGCTGCCCTGGAAGTGCTCACCAAGTTGTGCCAAGAAATCTGGAGAACAACCATTTGGCCAACTGACTGGAAGAGGTCTATATTTGTTCCCATCCCAAAGAAGGGTGACCCAACTGAGTGTGGAAATGATAGAACAATATCGTTGATTTCACATGCAAGCAAGATTCTACTGAAGATTATCCAAAATGACTGGAACAGCACATCAGCAGAGAACTGCCAGAAGTCTAGGCTGGGTTTAGAAGGGGTCGTGGTACTAGGGGTATTGTGGCTAATGTTAGATGGATCGATTATGCAAAGGTGTTCGACTGTGTGGATCATAACAAACTGTGTCTGACTCTGAGAAGAATGGGAATCCCAGAACACTTGATAGTGCTAATGAGAAATCTATACTTGGAGCAAGAGGCAGTCATCAGAACCGAGCACGGAAACACTGTGTGGTTCAAAATTGGGAAGGGCGTATGCGAGGGATGTGTCCTGTCTCCATACCTTTTCAACCTGTATGCAGAACAGATTATCCAGGAGGCCGAGCTCTATGAGGAGAAGTGTGGCATCAGGATTGGTGGAAGATCTATTAACAATCTGCGTTATGCAGATAACACAACCCTGCTTGCCGAAACTGAGGAGGACCTCATGCACTTGCTGCAGAGGGTCAAGGACTGCAGCCTCTGACATGGATTGAAGCTCAATGCCAAGAAGACAAAGATTCTCACCATTGGAACAATTGGCAGCATCAGGATGGATGGTAAAGAGATTGAGATTGTTCACAGCTTCAGTTTGCTCCACGATCAACACTCTCAGCACCAGTAGCCAGGAAATTAAAAGATGTATTGTGATGGGAAAGTCTGCTGTTAGGTACCTCTCCAAAGTACTGAAGAGGAATGGTGTCTCCCTGGAGACTAAGGTGCGTTTGATATAGGCCATGGTCTCTTCGCAATCACTTGTTATGCGTCAGAGAGTTGGGCAGTGATTAAGGAGGATAGAAGGAAAATTGTTGCCTTTGAGCTGTGGTGCTAGAGAAGAGTACTGAGAGTACTATGGACTGCTAAGAAAACAAAAAGATTCATCCTGGAAAGGGTTAAACTGGGTGGCTCCCTGGAGGCAAGGATTCTGAGGCTCCATCTAATATACTTTGGACATGTTGTAAGGAGGGACAGGTCCTTGGAGAGGGACATCATGCTTGGTAGGGTGGAGGGACAGCGCAGGAGGAAAGGCCCTCTATGAGGTGGATTGATTCAGTGTCTGAGGTAATCGGGATGGGTGTGTCACAGACAGTGCGATTGGCAGAGGATAGAGCAGAGTTTGGGGCTGTTGTACAAAGGGTCACTATGAGTCGCAAGTGACTCGACGGCACATAGCAACTACAACAACAACAACAACAAGAACTGAATAATTCACGTAATCATAACATATAAAGTACGATCCAATTAAAGGAGGCCAGCAGAAATGAAAAGATCACAGGAACTGGGACATGTGTATCCTTGGTGGCCATACAGATTTGCCTTTGAATATCACCCATGCATCTTCTCAGGATCTCTGGTGAAATAGTTCATAGGGGGTTGCACTGTTAGCCCAACGGGGGCACCTATCTGGGGGTTCAAATCCACTGAGAGCAGTCTTCTCCCATGTGGTTCACAGCCTCCTGAAAACCTACATCTTACTGATTGTGCTACCACCTTGGAAAAATTTCTTATATCCACACATTACAGTTTCTACTCTGTAGATTTATTTTGAGGATTGAGTGAGAAACTTCCCTTCAGAGAATCTTCAATTTGACAATAACTGTCTTGTCATTAGAAAGAACAATGTTAGAGTAAAAAGAGAAACAAGACATTTGCTTAGTGTACAGCATGGTTGACAGGGAAAAGGCAGCACAGGGTACCCACCGATACAGAATGCTTCCTTCATCCTTTCCTCCTCCGCCAGCCAGAGCATGGTCTGCATAGTGAGCAAGGTCATCATCATGAAGGGAATGGTCTGGGACACTGCAGTGAAGGGTGTGAGAGGAAAAAGGCATTACCTTCTCATACTGAGGCGATGCCCTGATTCTTCCTCATGCCAACAAATGCATTAGTTGTTGTGAAAGGAAGAAGTCCTTTATCCCTACTCTGACCTTAATGTCAGGCTATAGTTAGAACATCAAGGCAGGGTTGTTTTAAGAGAAAATATTAGCTGTTCAGATATTTGTTTAGAGGCAATTGCTTCTTTTCATTTCATCTCTCCCACAAGAATGTGCCTGAATTCTTGGAACCTGGTTTTAAGTGTCAGTGATTCAATTGTAACTCATAGCAACCCTGTGAACAACAGACGAGGACCTTGCTTTATCCCGTGCCATCCTCACTATCTTCACCATGCTCAGCCCCATTGTTGCAGCCATCGTGTTGGCACATCTTGACATACTCTAGGTCTTCCTCTCTTTCACTGACCTCAAGGCCTAGCGTATATCATAGTCGCTCACTAAAGATCTGTTAAGTGAAGTATTGTAGAAACAACTGGTAGAAAATCCTTATATTAATAAGGCTAACTGGTTTATAGAGTGTGCCATGTGAAAAATGATTCATCAAGTTTAAAACTAGCAGAAAAGAGAATGAGATGGGGGAGAGGCTGGCTACGTCCAGAACAGTGTTTAATATTCCTATCTGGTCAGCTGAGTCATCCTATGTATAAATAACTTCCTAAATCCTCCTATCAGTATCCTTAATGCCACAGAAAGTAAGATACTTTCGCTTCTGCATCTCATTTACTCCGATTAGGTTTTAGACCATTAGTAGGTGTTGTTTCCCAGAAAGTGTGGACAACATTCCCTCTATACCATAACTGGTTGCCAGTTCAGCCAGGGCAAGCACAATGAATTCATTCGGTAGTTCTAGGATCCTGAAGTTACTCTGCACTTCATACATCACAGAGTTGAAGTCATGTGCAGCAAGGGACACCAAAACCTCACCAGCTAGCATTCTGATTTCTCGGAAAATCTAAGGAAGAAGAGCAAAAGAAAAATTACACCTGGAGGAAGGGTAGAGTGTATCTGTAGAGGAAAAACTGTTTACATAATATTTAAAAGCATTGCTTACTTTGGGATAAAGCAAGAACAAGCTGTTATGAAACCACTAGGTTAGGTTAAGTGTCAGCAGCTGGGAAAGCAGAGGTAATCTGAATGCACCTAAAATGCTTGTGTCAGTAGGGTTTGCCTGAACTTGGGGGTTGATGCATGTTTTATAGATAATTGATCAGATACCACAACAGTAGGACTTCTTTTTATGTTTACATGATATGAATTAATGTGGCTGGAAGACTAAAGGGAATAGTAACTGGAAACTGGGCTAAGAGTGAAGAGATTTAGATTACAGCTTCATCTTGGTCTAAAAACTTTCAATATTGGAGATATTGGAAAGGACTTCTGCTTGAAGTAATAATGGTTTGTTTAAGTTTTCCTACTGATAAAGACAATAAAAATACCTGGATAGTATATATTAAAAATGCATTATACAATCCCCCCCTCTCCCGCCCCCTGGGTACACTCCACTATGCAACCTTCATTCTGGACTCTTGTCGTAATCATAATACCCAATCATATTGCTTTTAAACTGTTCTTGCCCTCATCTGTTTCAACGCAGTATACATAATTTATCCAATTTTTCTCAGTCTCATCCCAACCCTGATGTCAGTTCCATTCTACAACAGTGGCACTATGCGATATTTCACTCAGCATAATGTCTTCCAGGGTCACCTATTTTGAATAATCTTGCAGGACTGTATACCAATGAAGGAATTTTTCTTTTACTTTTCAAGGAGTGGAGCTAACTGGGGGGGAAGGGGTAGACAGGGAGAAAAGTGCAACAATGAATGAATGGAAATCAAAAATCTCTGAAAATGTTCATTAAAATAAAAAAAGTTAAAAAAATAAAAATTTTTTTAAAAGTGCAAAAAAAATGGGTATGCTGAAAACAAGTTTTCTGTCCCATATATTGTTCTGTAGCGAAATGGACTTGGTGCCAAATATTAAGTATATAAAAGCCAATACACTGATTGATTTAGAAATCTTTTTCTTGATCTTAATTCATTTTTATTTTTTTTACAATAAAATTAATCTGTTTCTGAAAAAATGCATTATACAGCTAACAACATTGAGAGGAATAACTGAATTAAGATCTGGAGAAGAATGGGAATTCAGAGACACAAGTCCTACATTTCAGGCTGCTTTTGCAGCATTTTGAGATGATAAAGCTCAAGGTAAACTGGAGGTGAGTGCTGGTAATTCCATTTGCCATGGTGCCAGGGTGCTTGGTGTTTCTGGCTGCTGACCAAAGACCAACAGTCTGGATCCACCAGCCACTCAGTGGGAGATAGATGGGCAATCAATGTCTTCACATAAAGAATAACATCTTTGAAAATCTTATGGAAGAGGGAGATCTTAAAGGACTCTATCTGATTGTAAAGTTTAACTCAAAGTAAATCAATCCTTCTGTGGATTGCAATTCAGCTGGAGCCACCTGAAAACCAAACTAAAACAAAACAAAACAACACAACGCCAGGGTTACCAAGACAATTTGGACTCTTGATTTGCCACATCAATTTCTGAGGCTGTAAATCTTTATAGGATGACATTGCCTATCTTTTTCCTTCAGAGCAGCTGGTAGATTTGAACTCTTAACCGTTTAGCCAGCAGCTCAGCATGTCATGCACTATGCCACCAGGGCTCCCTGTAAATCATCTGGCCCATAAATTCTCAAGTTTTAAAACTGATCATAATTTTTCATGGCCTTTGAAAAAACAAGTGAATATTCTTTCTGGGGAAAAACCCCCCATCATCCTAAATATCAAATTATTTCTACCAGTAATTTTAAAAATTACAATATCTAGAAGATAAATATAAGTAGATAAATACAGAAAAAGACAAGAAATCATATGAAAGTCTGGAAAATTGTTATAGTTATGTGTTTTGCCAGTTGATGGCTGTGTCATTTTGAAAACCTTTTCTTCATAGGCAACAATTTCTCATCTGAAAACATGCTGGATGATCTTATCTCTAAAATAACTCTTAGTTATGAGTCAGTTTACTCATCAGTGACAGGATCAGTAATAGATACTCTAATGGCGTATGAGTTACCATGAGAACAGGTAGAAGGGCTCTATGGTCCTAGCAGCAATGTAGAAGCAAGTTCTGGTGTAGTCGGGTCACTTAAAGACTCTGGTGTTGATGCTGACACTGATTCGCTGTCAAAACTCAAACTTACGTTGCTGTCTCTCATATTCTTGGAGGCAAAGTAAATCAACCGCTGCACAATTGCATCATCCAAGCTTTCAGTGTTCTGAATAATGTTAGTGAGATGACTGTAAACTTCTTCCTGTGAGCATACAAACACCAACACACAAAAGAGGCTTGCAGCATGAAAAGAATTAAATGAAGTCCAAATAACTAACACAATTGAATTAGGAGACGTATCTCTCTGCTACACAGTGGACTTTATAAATCTGAATCCTTTGCTTCTTGAACATAAGATAAATTTTTTATGAGACAGAAGATTATGTATAGAGAAGATTTATTGGAAAAAAATATTTTCCCTGAAGTCTTCTCTGTTGTTATGATGCTGAACAGATTTTAGTGACGCTTCCAGACTAAGACTAAGGAAACTCTAAGGATATATTTCTGAAAATCACTGATGAAAATTTGGTGGATCATTTCACTAGTAAAGTATGTCTGCCTTGTACATTATACTCATTTAAAAAAATCTATTTATATTCAATAAAAGTAGTAACAGCAAGTTGAAAGATTATATACAAACCATAGGGAATAGTGAGTTTATGTCAACTAAGGGAGAACCACTCAGAACAACAAAGTGAAAATGCTTATACAACTTGAAGAACATAATCAATGCATAGAATTGTACATGGAGAAACTGTTAATCTGTATGTTCTGCCATGTATATTCTTAACAAGAACAAAATTATGTAAATATACATATGCATATGCTGTTGTTATGTGTCATCAAATAGTGACCCTATGAACATTAGCTCTGAAGCTTGTACTATCCTCAGCCAACCTCACTGTGTCTGACCTGTTTGGCTCCATTACCCTAGTTCCTGTGTCAATCCATCTCATTCAAGGTCTTTCTCTTCTATGCTGACTCTCCTTCCTTCCAAGCATGTCCTTCTCTAAAGACTGGCCCCTTCTGACAACATGCTCAATGTGAGATGGAGCTTCAAAATCCTTACCTCCAAGGAGTAATATAGTTTAACCCTTTCTAAGATAGATATGTATGTGCGGTGTTTTTTTTTCCTTGGCAATTGATGCATGGTATGTTTAATTCAGCACCACAACTAAAAGACAATGATTCTTCTGTCATTGTCCAGCTATCAGATAAATAGCAAGCAATTGAGAAAACCATAGCCTGGATCAGATACACCTTCGCCTCTCAACTAACATTGTTGCTCTGGAGAAATCTCTGACAGCAGATTTCCCCACTGTTACTCACCTTTTGATTGTTTGGCTGTTGGTGTTAAAGATACTGATTATGGTCTATCTATCTATCATCTATCTATCTATCTATCTATCTATCTATCTATCTATC